GAAAGTGAAGTAAAGTTTTAGTGCAGAGAGAGGACCCCAACAAAATGTGTCAATAGAAAATGAGAGGCTTCTTAGGATGATGTGCATATTAAGTTTTCTCACAGCCTTGTGCTATCTCAGTAACCAGGATGTTGATTCTGTTTCATTTTATGTAATTTTGTGTGTCTTTGTTGAACTGCTTGGTATTCCGTCTTAAGATTGACTCTCATTAAATGTTTTTAATCTCAAGTGTACATAAATGATGCTTAACAATTTATAAAGCTAAACCCAAGTAGTCAAGATTATCCAGGTTCAAACTTCAACCAAAATACGTAATGTTAAATAGTACAGAATCTCTCTTGCAGAAATCTATAAACATTTTTTCTGCTTTTAAATCTACATTAAAACAATCTTTACTCTTGCAGGTGATTTGGCTTGCTGTATGGATAAACAGATGCATGTATGTTTGTGTGTGTGTTCACCATTCCTCAGAAAGCTCAGCCAGGGCATGTCTGTACCCATGGTTATTTTGCTATTTGTTTGGCCACAGAAGCCTAATCAAATGATGCTGATTTGTTCCCTTATTACTTTTTTTTTTTTTTTTTTTTTTTTTTTAGCAAAATAAGTATTTTTGTAGTTGCCAGCTGCTCTCTCTCCCCTCCTTCTCATTTTGCTTGATCTACTGCATACATTCACATATGTACAAACATATGTTGTATATATTTATAAACTGGCCAATGCATTGCACACAGCAAACTTGAATCTGAATCATTGTCTACAACTATTTGCTAAATGGCTTCAGAATGGAATGGGGAAAAAAAAAAACAAACCCTAACTAATCCATAGATGCTCTTAAAATTTTCCTGATGGATCAGATGTATTAGCTAGAAATGCTGACACTGAGCCATTTGCAATGTGAATGGCTTGTTTTCTTTCTCATATGATTAAATTTGGTTTGGCTGTTAGTGCATCCATTCCTTCCTTCCCTCCAAATAGTAAAATCATTTACATAGTCTCATAGTTGTACATAAGAGAGCACACAGAAAAGTACACTGACTCATTCATCAAATTTCCACATTTGAGTAAGCAGTGAGCTCAGTCTTCTCAGTCTGTAGTGATTTTTATGAATTAAACACTTGAACCAAGGAATTTAGAAGACAAGAAAAGGAGAAAAGGAACTGATATCTTTCTTGATCTTATTTCCTTACTTACTGGTGAGGCATGAGCAATTCTTCCATTGTTTTGAGACATTTACCATTATTTAATTCTCCTTCAGGGCCAGCATGAGGGATATTAAACCCAGCCTGAAATGTGTTTAAAGAATTCTGGCTTTTGCCATGTCAGGATAAGACAGTAGTGTGAACATCACTGCCTGATTTTTAATCATGCTTGAAAAGTCAGGCTGTTTGAAGCAAAGCCAGTGACATCCTTCACCTCTTTTAATCCCTGAGAATAACTCGCATGCCCTTCCTTCCCTCTTCCATGACTGCTATCTCTTCTCTAATGGACATTCTTAATTCTTTTAAGACACTCACTAAGAGTATGGAAAACTAAGAACCTTTTCACTTGAGAAATGGACACTAAACAAGCTTTGCAATACCTGTCCTGTAAGGTCAGATGAGTTTCCCAAGGATGTATGATGCAGAAATTAATTTGAGTATAGGAACAAAAGCCTTCTGAACTCCTAGTCCCCTATTTGATAAAATGTCTGTGTGCTTGCACGTATAATCAGAAACAGTATCAATGGTATTTGCAGATGTTTTGTTTCAAAATCTGCTGAAGGATCAACAGGAAAACTTGAATGGGCTACCCCACTGAAAAGCACCAGAGAAAAGGTATTTGCTGCCTGGCTGAAATCTGAAAGGATGATATCTAGTCTTGGGGTTATGGTGATGTCATCCAAATTTCTATTTGTTTTTTAAATGCCTGTCCCCTTCTGGAATCAGCTTTGAGATATGTCTAGTTTGACATATGTAAACATTTCCAAATCAGATATTTGAAGAGCATGGTAATATAGAGGATTTATTACTGGGTATGTTTTATTATTTGATGCATTTGGATTCACTTCATTTGCTCTGTCTTTCATGTGTGAATTATGCCACTTCATCTGGTATTACGAAAATGACAGCATCAAATGTATAGCAAGCAGGTTTCCATATGTCTTCTAAATGTACTCTAAGAGCCTTAACTGTTACATAAGGGTAGATGTTTCTTGTTGAAAAAAATATAGCAACTGTCTTGACTGTTTGATCTGCATATATAGAAAAAATATTTGATTCATGGAGATTTGTGCCCTGAAGTCTTACTGTGTTGCAGCTGATGTGTTGTGCGTTGTTACCAGGCATTAGAAAGGTGTGACGTATTAACAATGACAACCTGCTATGCTGCTGCTGTTTCACATTTCACAAACAGCTTATTTCCTTTACCTCCCAAAATAACTGCCAGGGAGGCAAGCAACCTGGTTGAGCATTTCTCTTCTCTACAAATCTAGAAATTAAGTTATAGCTGTTAGACACATCTGTATGCATGTGTAAGGTTGTACTGGTTATACAAATGGTCCTCAGAGAGATTTTTCAGTCACTAGAGAAAAAAAATATTGGCTATCTCCTGCTCCCAGAAGGTAGCTGGAATAATTTAAGAGTAATGGAAGCCTTTGCATCTCCAGTTAATGTTAGTACTGTTTATCAACTTTTTTTTTGAGTATTCTCCCGTAAATGAATTACATTTTGTCTTGGCTTCCTGGTTTTTGGGATGTTTTCCTTTGAGGGAATTCTAGCTTGTTTCTTCAAATTTAAAAGCATTGCTTAGAATGGCCATTCACTGTCAAATTCTTTCCATATTATTGTCATTTGCCGAATGGTTTGAAGACATGTTTCTCAGAACAAGGCTTCTTATTTGAACTTCTGATCTCTCTATTCTGTGATCCATTAATGGCCTTTATTCAAAGAACTTCCTTAAAAATAAGCCATTGATTCAGCTGATGCCTCCACATTTCTCTCTTGTCCTGTATTCCTCATGTTCCTTAAAAAATGTTGCCAGTTCAGTCTTAAAAATCAAATGAGCCTTTTATGTCACTTCTCCATTAGCCAGCTCCAGAGCTGTAAGTCTAGGGGAAAGGGCTGGAAGGAAAACCAAAAGATCTCCCTGATATGATTGCAGTCTTGCAAAAAGTTTAAAATACATGAAAGTAGGCAAAAAGTTTAAAATATAGCACAGCTGACTGATGAATGTCAGGGATGTTCTTTTTGAGTGACTCTGTAGGACCACAGGATAGATCATAAATATTTTCCCCAGTATAAAACTGTAGGAAAAATATCAATAGGTAAGTAAAATGGATTTTTTTTTTAGTTTAATCAGCAGTAATCACTCATCTAGAAATCATTTGAAAAAAACCACAACAAAACCTAGCCACAAAAAAAGACATTATAATTATCAAACCATGCACTGACTTACAGAACAGAGTGTCATGATAGACTAATTCAGAGAGCTTAAGAAATGGTACACTCAGGTAAGTGGCATTTGAATATCAATGCATGGGTTTAAAAAGTGAGGATGTTTTTGCCTTTTACATTTTTCTGTGCTGCATCTTTGTTGCTCAACAGCTTCATTTTGCTTCAGCAGATGGAAAAATGAATTACAAATTAAGAGAGTGTGCAAAATTTGATTAGTAAACTGATGTTAAATTTTTAAGCTGTAGTCTTTTTATTCAGAAATAGGATAATTTATGTAGACATTTATTTTTCATGTTGAGGAAAACAACTGGAATATTGAGTTTTGAGAAGCAGGACAAACAGTTTCACAAAGACTTTGTGAGATTGACCCTTCTGAATGGTTGAATCTTTGTATATTATTGTCACCATTAAATACTTTAAATTATAACAACAATCAAAGCACACTGTCTCCACTTACAATAGTCCATGAATTAAGATATAACTTCTGTGACTAAAATGACATTTCCATCCATTTAACTGGAATTGCATTTTTTTCCCATAATCAAAGTGATTAAAACTGTGATATGTGATTCATAGAAAATTATCACAGGAGTCGATGAGTAATGATGGATTGGTCAGCAAAGCATCTGCAATTATATTTCAAGAGACAGCTTTCCATAGAATTTTTCATAAAATAACCAGTTCTCCAAAGGCTTCAGTGTTCAGCTTCAGATGAGAAAAATGTTCTTAAAAGCTCCATTAAGTCAAAAAATAAAATGGAATAATATTTAATCAAGCAATTATTTTTTGCAATAATTCTTCCATAGCTTCCTGTAACATTCCTACATATTTTAGATTTTGAAATAAAATAGAAGCAACTCATACTCAGAATTTTTTTAAATCTAGTTGCAGTCACAGTCCTTACTCAGTGTTGGAAATATGACCTTTGCATTTCAGCAGCAGTTCTTACTTGAGGGGTAGGTTTTGTGTTTAATATGCTACTTTACTCTTGCTGTGCTCAGAAAGGGCTGCCGGATCATTCTGGTAGAGTCATGACTGGCACCAGTTTTCTAACACAGTTGCTCCTGGCCCAGTTTTCTGTTGTACCATATTTTGTTTAGTACACAGCAGGTTTGAGTGTGTAGGCTTCTACCTAAGCTATCTACTGTATTGTGTCATAGTATAGCTGTAACAGAACTTAAATAACTTTATTTACAGTCCTTTATAGGCTTTGACTCTGTGTTTTGAAAATAGCCTTAAACTCAACAGAAAAGCAGTATATGGGTAGGTGTGGATGTCTGGATTTGCAGGGCACTGGACAGCGTGTTCAGTTTAGTGTTTGAAATGGAATATACTTTGTTCAAAAACAGAACCTATGATAAATGCCAGATCCCAACCTAATGGAAGAATCATCTTATATTGTGTATCTATTTCTATATGAAGAGCTCAAAACTGTTATGTTTTTATATTCTTTTGTTTTAGCTCTGCTACTAAGAATAATTAAATACCATGTCGGTGTTAAATAAAGGGGGGGTTTAGATCTGCATCAGTGGGCACTGAAACTTTTGCTGTTTTTGTTTTCTTTGACAGCTTTTTGGAAACTGCAGCCTATTTCTGTATGAAACCAAAAATGGGAGAGAAAGAGGTGTCCCCACATTCTTTCTTTAGTATTTGGCATGAATTCAGTTCTGACTTCAAAGACTTCTGGAAGAAGGAAAACAAACTTATTCTTCAAGAAAGGTACATTTGTTTGTTTGTTCAAAGGCTTTTCTTAGAGAATGTTATTGGGAGCAACGGCATAAAAACCAGTCAGCCTCACTTTAGTTAGCATACAACCTATTAAATGCCTTTTCGAGTTTTCTCAAGTTTGTTGTTTTTTTGGGGTTTTTTTAAACAGATTTTTTTTTTTTTTTCCCTAATCATTATTTTTGAATGAGACATTAATATTAATTTGTGATAAATGTTTTCAGGTCTATTACCTAAACAACATTTTTGGCAAAGCATGTAGCTACTGTGCCACCATGAATCTAAGCAATGAGAAGCTTTTTTCAGGTCTGAAAGTTGATTAAAAATTTCCGATTAGCATAGTTAGTGAAAATGAGTTTACGGTATCAGACATGATAATACTGTAAATATTTGTCTGGCGAAGTTGGGAGAAGGGAAAGGAAGCAAGAAGACAGAAGGAAAAAGTCAATTGACCCTGCATTAAGAAAAGACTCAGACTGAACCATATTGCACATATATCACAAGACCATGGATGTGAGCACATGTGGTATATACGGCATAAAGAAATAAGATAGTAGTTTTGAAAAATTACCCATACTGTCTGGTCTGTGTATTAGGACAGCTATGAAGTTTGCTTGCATCTGCATACTGATATTGCATTGTTGTCACCTTTTGTTTATGAAAATGATACCAAGAATTAATCAGTTGTTTAAAAAGTAATAAATGCTGTATAAAGACAAATTAAACAAATACAAACATGAAAATTGTAAACACTGTTATATAATCCTGCATCTGTTAACAACTTGAGTGACCTCAGTATACAGATAATGAAGTTACTTCTGAGCCTTAACGTTAACAGGATTGAAGCTTTATGTTCATTAATGATTGATACCAGTCCAGGTTTTGGTAACTTGACAAGAACAGGCCTCTTTCAAGAGTACTCACCCTGTGTAATTGTCACAGACATCAGATTACTGTTCTTAGATGCCTGTATGATCGATGTAATGTGTATCATATATGTTCACTGTAAGTGGATACATTTTGGAGCAGCTTCACAGTTAAGAAAACTGGATTGTGCTCCTGTTGCAAGAGTGTGATGCAAATGTTAGCGCAGTATAGTAGCTCCCTGGGGATCTATTTCATTTTACCGACTGTCTGACTGGATTTTATGTAATTAAATATATGTCTTTGGAATTGAGTTGACAGTTAAATACTATCTTTGGTTTCCTATGCAGGGATTTAGCTGCCAACTTAATACAGGTTAATTTAATCTTGTATTTTTTATAGAATAAGGTTTAAGAAAAATGTCCTTTCCTTTCCAAAATACTGGGCTATTTTTCTAAAAACAAACAAACAAAAACTCTCCAGAGGGGGAAGAGGCAAAATATTTTTCTTTAACATTAACTAAATAAGCACAAAACCTCTTCCTCCTATTTTTCTTATACAGCTAAAGCTTAAGAGAAGAATGGGATTGTGACACAATAATTTAAATTTCTTTCAGTTTAATGTTTAAGTATGATAAGAGAATGTGTTGAGGTAGCAGGGAAAAAAGTGGCTGCCAGCTGGTCCCTTCTAGGGCAAGGATGGTTTTATCCTGAAAGGAACTGAACATGTGTAACCTATGAAATTACTCTAGGTGCAGGATGTGACAAGGAAGGGAAAGGACAGTGAGAAAGGGCCTGCAGTGGGAAAGGAAACTGAGAGATCCCTAGGAAGAGGAGCAAAAAGACCCAAACCCAGGCTGGAAGCTGATGGGATGGAGGAGATTTTCCCAGGGGAACAGACAGGATTGTGTAACTGCAGTGCAGGAAGTCACTGAGATTAAGACTGAAAATGATCCATTCTGAAAATCAGAGGTAGATTTTTGTTTTGATTTTTAATTTTACTTGTATCATCAGGTTTAAATCTTCCTCTTTATAGATTTTGTTTGTTCAGCTGAGGCAGGGTTCAGACTTTGGAAACCTTTGATGTCTTGGTTTGTGCTCACCTCTCAGGAACGTTTGACATGGTGCTGTTTCAGGTCTGGCAAAGTCAAGTTCCCTTCATTACCTTTTAGGAATTAAAATATTTTGGCCAAATTGGCAGTAAGGGTAACAATTTTCCAAGTAAAACAAATTATTTTTTCCAAAAATTAAGACTCTTCTTTGGTAAAATAACTTTTATCAAAGCTCTTATGCAGAAAATATTTTGTCTCCGATTGTAGTTCAACCTGATATCTGAAGTTGGCCTTTAGGCTTTTTTTCTTGATTTTACATTTCCACTTTCCTTAGTGAAAGAGAAGATGCTGTGATGTAAAGGTGCCTTGGTATTGAGAAGTCAAAGGAGAAAAACCTTGATGGAAAAATAAGTGTTGCCCAAAGGTGTAAGAATGTACATGATGATTTTCAAAATCTCAGCCTAGATTGACAGATCCGTAGGTGGCAGAAGTCTGAAATCTGCCTATTGCCACTGAAATAAAAATGATTATTTCAAGGAACTAGATTTTCCTCTATAGTTGATGTTCTTGAAAGTTTTTCTGCTGCTAAAGCTGAAGTGCAGACTAGAACACTAATGTTCAAAGTAATTTTCTGTACTTTTTCATTGGTGGCAAAAGCAAGTGACAGATACAGTGAGACTTCTCTTTTCAAAGTATTATAGTATGCCACCTTTGGTGGTTATTCACCAGGTTACTGCCTCATGAAGCATACTTTAATTATTATAATTCTATATAAAATGTATAACTTTATTCCCTTTTCTTTTTCAGTTTGATCCTCTTTCTTTCTCACCCCTAGTTGTTTTTGTGTTTTGATTTGTTTTTTTTTGGTTGGTTGGTTTTTCTCTTCTTCATCCACTTCAGTGTTTAGTTTAATAAACTTTTATGCTGTGGGCAATTTTTTCTAGAATATATTATATCCCATATGGACTGTTAATAGATGCTGTTCCTTATTTAGTCTCTGCAAATATGAGTCACACTGTTTTACATTAATTTACCCAAGGGCTTTCGTAGGTGGTACTTCCTAAGGTGGTACTATATTTTGTTACAGATAGATTAAAAGTGTATGTTTTAAAGAAAGCAGTCAGCCAGTTCTTATTTTAAACACTTTTCACGTGGCATTTGAACTTGTATATTGGTTTGCCAAGCATTTATACACAAAAGATAAACACTGAGGTGTCAGACGTATTTCCTTACAAGAAGATGAAAAAAAAAAAAAAAGAAAGAAAGAAAGAAAAATGGTGCAAGGTTAAAAACAAATTAATTTTTCTGAAGTTTTCTACTGGTTTCACCCAGTTCTCTTATTTGAAATAAAGTAGAACTGGAAAATACCAGCTGTGAAGAAAATTATGCATGATAAACTGTTAAATACAGTAGCAATAAAAAGAAAAATATACCTGAAAATTACAGTCAAAGCATAGGTCTGCCAAAAGGTTTTTTGAACAGTACTATTTTTTTTTGTGGTCATACAGTAGTCAAGGCTAACTGAAGCATTCCAACAGAAATTATCTGCGTTATTTATAACGTTCTCAAAAATATTTTGTGGAGGCTGAAATTTCTGGTGCTATGTCTATCCTAAAGATATAAATTTTAAGTTAAAATTTTCAAGGTAATATAACTTATTTCTGATTAAGCAACTTTAAAAACAAAACAAAAACAACCAAACTTAACAAGGCATGTTTTGAATTTTTAAATATTCTTATCATTGTCATTTCATTGTAATTTAATGTGTCACTGGTAGTGACATTGCATTCGTAGTTTGAAAACTCTTGAAAGGTATCTATCAGTATAGCTTGCACTTTACATATGATCAGCATGAAAGCCAAGAAGAGATGACATATATTCCCTAATATTTTTTCAACATTGTTTGAAAAAAAAAAAAAAAAAAAAAAATTTTGAGCCTTGCAAGCTTCTTGTTCAGCATCCTTATTATCTATACATGTATTTCAGTTGTTGTGTACCCTGAGATGATACTCTCTGTATACATACTGTCAGATAATGCACAGCTGAAGTGACAGCTATGCAGAAGTCTCATCTTCTTAGGAAAACTCTTAGGGGATCACATCATTAATCTTCAAATGCTTTTTTAATCCTCTAGCGAGAGCAAGTACAAACTGATTTATAAATATATTAACTCTTTTCTTATGAACCTCTGTCTTTATTTCACCCCCACCCCAGTTTTTTTATATTTCTGTAGTAGAGATATTCAGTGTTAAGTGCATTATTCTAGTCTAGCACTTCTGTGAGAGCAAGAAGTATTTTATTTTTTCTTGACATCCAGCAAAGGCCTACAGAACTGTTGGCACTTTCCTAGGAACTAGCAAAATATAGCCTGTCCTAGGAATTAAAAGATAAGAGTTCATGAGGCAACACCTGATATAACCCTATAGAGAGAAGACTTGAAAAGTTATGATCAATTAAAAAAAAAAAAAAAGAAAAGGAAAGAAAAAAACCAACAACCAAGGAACTGCTGGGTATGGCAATCAAATATGGAATTTGTATATTCTTGGTAGCTAAATGTACAAGTATTTATCAGAAAATCTCATATTGGTGCAGACAGCGATGATCCATCTTTAGGACTACAGCTTCATCTTTTCTTTACAGCCATGAAATATACCCTGGCTCATTACAGTAACAAAAAGCAATAAAGAAGTCAGTCCTTTAAGAACTTTTGTGTTTAAAAGAAGTTCCATTGCTGTCAAAAGTTAATGTCGATATCCTTAGGCCTTAGATGCCAGTTTAGATCTTACTAGAAAAATGTTGATAATATGGCAGAAATGTGTTTGCAGGGCCACAGTTCCACCTTCCAGTTTCTCTGGGTACAAGTGAGGTACTGACACTTCTTTGTCCACTCCAACCCTGGACACGTGTCCGTTTGCTGTTTCAGAGGGCCTGTAAAACCTTGCAAAGAATTACCTAAAGAGGAGAAAGTAAGTTGTATTTCTAGACAGGAGAGAATGGGGGAGGGGAGAGAGAGAAAAAGGGACAGATATAGGTGCCTTGTAAGTGTGTACATAAGGTTTATATTGCTCATAACCTCAGTCCAGCCCTTGTCTTTATGAAAAGGCATGTCACTGAACAGAGACTGACTATGTCAGGGACACCAGCAGAGGAGAGTTCATAAGCAGGATCAACGTGATGGTAAAATTCTGTAAGTCCCTGATATCTTGCATCACACTAAGCTTGAGAATTTCTTTTGGCTGACTTTATTCAACCCTTTAACTCCCATGATAAATCTTTAGCACATTAAAAATAAATCTATAAAAGCAAAAAAGTGCACTCATCTCTCAAATGTAAAAGTTGCCCATTCCCGTAAGAATAGCAGTTAAGCTGGCACCTGGTGTGTCACACTGTGTATATCTAGATGAAAGGGAGATTCCTGGCCAGCGTGTCTCCACAGCTCATTGATCTCCTTCTGCAGAAAGACTGGTATGTCTCCCTGCAGACTCCTTGGCAGGATGATTTAAAACTTGCTGTTGAGCAATTTAAAGTCTGGCATTGGATATCTGTACGTTGCACAGTGAGGAGCATATTGGTAAGCTGCCACTTCAGCTTGCAGAGGAGGGCATTAAATCCCATAGCACAAGCAATGTCCTCTCAGAGTAATTTAAGGGATATTTTGTTAACGCTTATAATAGGAACCAGTGAGTCAGACTTGAGAGTGAGAAATCAGGGAACATGGGAATATGGACTTGTAAAGAAGTGTGGAGATGGAAGGAAAGAGAAGAAAAATGTATACAAAGTGGCAAAGTGAGAAGTAAATTATGAAAATGTGGAGTACGTTTAGTGGGGTTACATTTTGCTTGGTATTCTGTTGTAATGACAACTAAAAGCTCCAAGTGTTATGTTAGTAAGTAGCTATGGGTAGATATATTTTCTAACTTGGGAACTTTAATCTCAATATCTTTATTGCTCTCTAATCAACTGAGTTGCGTGCTGGCAGGCTTGGTTGTACAACTCATAATGACATTTCAAAACAGAATGGAGCATACATGACTTTGAATTGAATAATTTAAAGGATCTTCAGTTTTAGAGAGTATTTCAAAATTTTAACTTGAATAAAATAGCTTTTTGATCAGAAAATACTGTTCCAGGCATTGGAAAATCTACTTAAATGAAGCCCAAGCACACCAAAGATTCAGAAGCTAGGAACAGTCTGTTGAGGCAGTGCCTTACAAAGAGACAACTTGCTGTCCAGCTGAGAGTTTGCTCAACATTTCAGTACATTTTTTTCCTTTCTTGTCCACTTTTGGCAATTAGTCTTTTTTCCAGTGAAAACACCATCATTTTTTGGTTAGGGGGGCAGAGCAGTAACTTTCATTTTTAGCATTGCTTTTGAGGGAAAAGTTTGTGGAAAATAAAAGCGTTTGGAGATAAGTTTCTTAATCTGGATCTTTGGTGGAAATTACTTTTAGATACCTTAGTTTAACATTTTTAAGTAATACTGTGTTTTGTAAGGGCAGGAAGAAATATTTTTGCTTTCCAACTGTAAGCCAACTGGTGCATACAAGTAGTAAAGTTGAACAAAGTGAAGGATCTGGTAAAAAACTAATTCCAAATCTGTGATCTTTCCTAATTTTTGTGACTTGCATGAGGCGAGATTCCAGAATGCCCCCACATGAACAGCAGAAGGGCTTTTCAGCAGTCTCCTCTTTATTTACCTGGTAATGCTGTTGCATCATGCTGACACATTATGTTGCATCCTAGTATGTGTGTTGTGCGTGAAGGGAGATAGGTACCAGTCATCATCTCATCATTAAGTTTGCAGCCTGTTTTCATGGCTGTAATGTCAGATTGGGTGTGACAGTTTAGCGTGTTGCATCATGCTGACACATTATATTGCATCCTAGTATGTGTGTTGTGCGTGAAAGGTAGGTACCAGTCATCATCTCATCATGAAGTTTGCAGCCTGTTTTCACAGCTGTAATGTCAGATTGGGTGTGACAGTTTAGGCTATAGTGAGATGGGATACCATGGTTCCTACGATATAGTGATCTTTTCAGGTTTTTTAACCCTTTCCTGTTCACCACTTCTTGAAAAAAAAATAACATTTGCCTATGATAAAAATTAGCCCAACATAAACAATAGATATTTGCATATTGGTGAAAAAAATTACACCACTAAAAATATTAAACAGAATTTTTGACAAGAGCTGCTCCACTTTCTATACTTGTGAAATGTTTTCATTTCCAGGCAAAATTACTACATTGGCATTTGAGGTGCAATAAAATACTGTAATGTTTTACAAAGGAGCAGCATTTCTCATGAAAATTAAAATATTAATCCCTGAAAGTTTGAGATGCTCACAAAGACTTAAAATCTACTGTAACCCAGACTGATCCTGAACTGCTGAAGATGTTAGATTCATTGGTTACTGAGAGTTTGCCAAACCAGTGCATGGAGTTGGTATAATAATGACAACATCTATTAAGTGTAAGTGTATTTTACCATCTCCTGCACTGGAGATCTCTAATTCTGACTACTACTACTTTTTTCTTTTCTTTCCATTGATCTCTTCTATTTACTCATCTTTGCTTGTAGTGCCAATCTTGTAGCTATCAATCATCCAATGTAGTAGCCTCAGTATACCCAAAGTAGCAACTCATCCGTCCATATTCTCTTTAAGATAGTGTCTGTGTAGTCTGTTCACCAACTCATTCTTTTTTACATATTGCATTTTTTACCCCATCTGCTGCTTAAAAATATTTCACAGCAAACACATAGTTTCACATTTCCATTCACTCACAAGTTTCCTTTCTTTTGCTTGCTGTTTATGTTACCAGTTTTACCTCACCTCCA